ATTCACCAAAGCTTTAAGAGGTAGTAGGTAAAAATTTATATTTTTGTCCAAGAATGGTCCAGGACATTTAAAGTGACAGACACGGACACGGACAGTCCCGGACCGGACAGTCCATGTCCATGTCCGCGTCCGCTGACAACACTGATTGTAATATTATATTATGCATTTTTGTATAAAAAGATAAGCTTTCTGTAATTAATAAAGATAACTTGTATAACTTGTATTTTTTTAATAATTAAAACAATTATATAGTATTTTGACGTAAGGAAAAATGGTTTCCTTACAGATCAGCTTTATAAATGATTTTAAATGGAGGTGGATACAAATCACTAGTGAGAATAGAATCAAGCTTTGAAATATCAACACATAAATTAGAAGGTAATATCATATGATACTTAAAGTTTAATAAAGAAAAGCCACTCTTAACAATTTCAACTGATTCAAACATAGTAAGTCCATTAGATTCTTTAAAATACATAATAAAGGTTTGAACAGCAAGTTCACCAGATCAATAGTCTTCATCAATGACTCCAAATACTTGTAGATCACCACTTTTAGGAAAATAGCGCATTCTATAATGCTTTGAATCAATTAATATAACAATGTCAAGGCAAGATTGAAAGCAAGTCCCATCACCAACTTTTCTAGATTCCTTGAAAAGAGGCATTGTCATCAATTTTTTCTTTTTAGCCATTAACTTCTTGGGTTAGCAATAAAGTTCTCAAAACCTTCATAAGTCTTGTGAATGAAATTGCTATTGATAGCAATGATATCTTTATTAAGCTTGAGTTGTTCACCAAGAGTTTTATAATCAAGGTCTTTCACGCTAAGTTTAACTGAATATACACAAAGGGAAAGGGTTAAATTGCTAAAGTTAATATTTTCACACATGTTTTAATATATTTTTTCAGAAGTATTCTAAATCGAAATTTCAATATGAATACTTTCAATGATCTTATATGTTAACACTATGTGTAAACATTTATATCTCTAAATTATAATGTAAAATAAATATGTTAACGCTATATGTATACTGTGAGATTGTAAATAAGGACTGAGGAAGTCCCGAGCATGTCGATCAATCGGAAGAGAAATACTTCAATTCGTCGATTTTTACACATTTTTGCCCCGGATCGACATATAGATTTTTATCTATATATTTCTCTCACGTATCACGAATTAATGTGTACGCGTTTGTCGATCAATAACTATTTTTTAAAAAAATTCCCAAATGTCAAAAACCAATACTCGTAAAAGAAATAAAGAACAAGATGCCATGGAAGTAAAAGAGTAAGTGTCGTTTATTAAAGAATGGTGGTGGTTATCCCCACTTGTCATCACTCTAGTTAATTATATAAAATACAATTTTTATGATTTTGAACGTGGTACTATTTATGGTCTATGGAAGGAAATAAATATTCTACAACATAACAATAATATTCGTAAGACATTAATTTTTTTTGTGGGATTTTTCCGATTTTTTTAATGATTTTAGTTGTTTGGTAAATTACTCAAAAACTAGCTTCCAATACTTTAGAACAAACACATTAAGCTCTTTTAAAGAAATTAATAATAAAATGTATTTTTGAACATTCTAGATGAAAAGACATCTACATGTCTATCTGGTGATTTTTGATGTGGACTAGTATATTTGATTAATTAGTTGTGACTAGGAAAAAATCCAATCGACTAGCTGCAGCCTAAATTTTTCCAGCTGACTTGCAACACTAGTTATTAGTATGACAACCTACAAATTCTTATGCCAAAGATCATCGTCACTGCCATGAAGATAACAAAGAAGGAACTTGCATAGCGTGGAAAGTATGATTTTGTTAAATCCGATGCCTAAGTTCAATATGTTGTATTTATTTTTTGGAAGAATTCTATGATTTATGGAACCCCAGAAACTCGAGTAGAGGCTCAACCACAGGAGATTCTCTTGATAGCACATTATGTGATTTGTTTTCAAATTGGTTTCAAAAGTTCGATTTGTTATACTATTTGTCTTATTTTTGTTGTAATCGGAATAATCGAATGGCTTTGACTTAACTAATAACTCTAGACGAAAAGTGGACATTGGATCAACTCAAATGTTTTAGATTAAACAAAATTAGTAATTTATAAAGTGCTGTTTTTCTCGATTTCAGACTTTCATCATTCTAGCATTAGATTATTTATAATCATAAACATTGTAATGGATATATGGAACAGAAGGTATAGTGTAGATACAAGAAAATACTAAGCAATGAAAAAAAAATAGGTTCAAATAATACGTAGAAAAATACATAATAATTCATATATAAAGATATAAGACAACAAACCACCAGAGCAATTGCATGGGAAGAAAATACTTAAATCCAAGCCATTGATGGAGATCTATATTATTTATTATTATCTTTTTTTTTATAGTGGAAGCAGTGACTCTTTTGTTCTCTTCATGTTACTCATGGATTTCAGTTGCCACTTTATTAAATGAGAAATCTGGCTTGACTCAGCCTCTTTATCAAAAGTATCTACAAAGTTTCAAATATTTTTATTCACTAATTGGTTTGCTTGTTTTCTTCTAAGCTCATTTGAATTAATTATTTTTATTAATTTTTTGGTTTACATTCTAAAAGTTTTTACAAGTTTTGTAATGAAGCAAGAAGCCAAGGAAAAGTCTAAACAATAAATATATCTATAAATTAATGTTGATACGATGTCTATGTACACATTTATAATACTATCCAGCAGGTCAAAAAAGTTTCTTTATAAGGAAGGCTTTCGTAATAATTTTTCCCCACACTTTAGAAGGCATAGAGATCGCGCCAAAATCCATCGTCAAAGGAGGATTCTATTTACCTTGCATGTTAATTAGCAAGTAATGTTGGTATTTGAAAATTCCTGTTTATCGAGCAATTTTATATAAATTTTCCTTCTATTTTTGGATGAAGTTAATAATGATAATATTATTGATGATAATACACTATATTGCACGTCATAAATATTTTAATTATCACTATTCTAACTTCTAAATTTTCTTTAATTAGGATATGAGTGTCGAAAGTATCTGAATGGAAATCAAAAATCAATCAATAAATCAACCAACGACTGTTCAATAGACTTTTGACGGAATATGATTCTTTAGCAATTAAAAGCCTTTGTGGGAATAAGTTCATCGCATTCCTTTGTTTTTGGCACAAGTTAACTTGTATATTATTATTTATTTGATTTATTTGGTTATATTGATGTTCATGTTTCTCGCTTGTCATTATTTTAACGCATTTCTCAAGTCAAGCTTCATGTTGAATTAAAACATGAGACATTTACTGTCCTTCGAACCTATTAAGATAGTATCAGAAGAGCTTGTTGTGACATTCCACCACAATCTTGAATATTACAGTCCTGGACTACGTTTATATATATTGAAAGCAATCATGTGGCAGGCTAGATGACATCTTAGTTGGCGAGCAAATAAAATTATGTGTTGCTCTGTCATGGTGATAACAAAATTAAAGAAGGTAAAGTCATGGAATTCACATTCAGATATTATAGTGTAAACAATAACAACAATTCAATTACTGCTTCTACAACTATTTGTTGTGCAGCCACACCACACGTAATTGATTTTAAAGAAGAACACACACACCATTTTAAAACTATATATATTGGCAATTTTCAACTTGAATGATTCATGCTAAATTCAGATAGGACAAATTAAACTTTGGATTTCTGAAAAAAATCTCAACACGCCACAAGAATCATTTAGTAGTGGTGATGATGGTGGTGATCTTCTTCTCGATAAGTTATTTGCAAGAAAATTCATGGTTAGTTCTGCTATTATAGATATGAAAGCTATGATGCTAAAACTCGCTCTTGTAGGGTATGGTTGAGATGAGAAAGTGTTGCCATACCCATCCATATCTTCCTTAGATTAAAATTTAGTTCAACAAAACTTTCCAGAGATACCACACAAAACAGGTATTGCTTAATCATAGGTGGCCATGAGAATTTGTGTCAACAATTAAAAGTTCTAAATGGAAACAATCAATCAACAATTTGATTCTGACCCGTCACTTCTTATTGTTTACAAATTGTCATTTGAGAATGTATATGGAACAAGTGGAAAACTCATCTGAAAAATTAGATAGATATACACTGTTTGACGAAAGTGTAGGAAATTCAAACTGCCCAAATTTGTACCTTTAGAGAAAAAAGTATTTATTGGAATCGTTCCTAAATGAATCATATTCTTTTGAATAAAAGAAAAATTTGGAGAAATAGCCAATTGGGAAGAAAAAATGATAAATGATGATAACGATATAAAAATCAATTTAAAACTAATAACCATTCGGGGCAATTTTTTATTAACACACAATCTTTTACATGTATAAATAAAAAAAAAATTTATGATAATATGAAGGATTTTTCCAATTCTTTAATAATTAAATCCACCAACTTGATACGATTTTCATATGTAACATTCAAAACTTTGATTTTATCATCATCTTTAGTATTATTGGTGATGGTCAGAGAAGTAGAAGAAGATGCACTATTTCTAATTTTTTTAGCTAGTCCTTCAGATTTCAACGAAACGGTTCCCAAAATAAACATATCGTCATCTTTCTCTTTATTATTATTATTATAATTATTATTATTATTATTATTATTATTATTATTATTATTATTATTAAATATCAATCCATCAACCAAATTATTAAATTGATTTGAAAAACTTTCCATTTTACCAATTTCATCAATGATGATTAAAGATTTCTTTCTCTTGTTGTTATTATTGCTATTGCTATTATCATTTGCTTCTTTGGCGAGATGTAACGATGGTAATGCCAATCGATCAAATTCAGTAATGTCAACATAATAATCGCCTACTCTTGGTAAATTATTATTTGTCGTGATGTAATCTTTCTTACGTGCTAAAATACCTCGATTACCATCTAGAGTTAACACATCAAAACCAATTCTATGATTTTTGGTGGCGAAGGTGGTGGTAGTTAATTTATCATAATCATAGTTATCAACATTGCCGTCGTTGTTGGTAACTTCGATCGTGTAGAAGCCTTTTAAATTTATTTTGTCAGAATGATTCTTTTGAAAATAGGAAATGATCTTTTTGATTATTGTTGATTTTCCAACACGTGGTTGGCCAGTTAAAAATATTGATCTAGGTGGCGATGGTGATGACATTAGTTATTTATTTAAAAAAATTTATGATCCAATCTGTAGATCCTAATATAATGATTTTTTAACTCTTTTATTTATTTATTTATTTATTTTAATTTCTTATATATAACATAAATCTATATTTTATACATATATATATATTATATGTACAGCTTAAATTCATCTATATATTAACAATACGAATCATAAAATTTACATAATGTACAAGCTTAATTTTCTATTACTAATCGTATTTTACATAAATTATTAATTAAAATTATTAATAATAATAACCTAGAATAAAATTAATCTTAAAAAATATTTATATATTTATAATTAAAGTTGCATATAGGCGTATGTGAGAAAGTATTTGACAATGGATGATATTATATTTGTTTGTTAGTTAATAGACGTTAGTTCGTTAGTTTTTTTAACAATGTGGTGGTGATGATAATCTGTTTGTTTGAGGTGATAACCTGTTTGGTGTTGTTGATGATGATGACGATTATTACTAAAACTATATAATTATTGTATGACAAAAAAAGACAATATATTTTGTTAGAATTCAATATTTCAAATATTCAAAAAATTATTGATTTAATGAAAATAAAATTAAAAATATAGAGAATTGAATGTTAAGTTAGAGAGAGAGTGAGAGCGAGAAAGAGAGAAATGTTTGGTGATATAAGTATTATTGCTACGTATTTAGTTATCAAGAGTAGTATTACTAGCATCATCATTATCGAAGTTTCGTTCCTTTTTCCTTTCGTAAATTAACAATAATTAGTTTGTTGGTGAAGAAATAGGTTGTGAGTGTGTGGTTGTGAGTGGGTGGGTTGTGAGTGGGTGGGTGGGTTGTGAGTGTGAGGGTGGTGAGTGGTGATTAGGTGTGTGAAAATTTTACAAGTTGAAAATTGCGCAGAGAAATAATTTATTTTTCATCATTTATTATTATTATTTTATATCACACACATATTTCATTTATTCATGTGTGTATGGATTATGATTATGAAGATTAAGAAGAAACAGAGCGGAACGTTCAAATCAATCGGTGAGTTTGTTTCTTTCGCTCTATTTTTATATAAACCTATTTCTCTAATTCTCTATGTAATTTATCTCTGAATATTTCTCATATCTTTCTATATATATATATATAATATTATCTTAAAAATCTGTTTCTCTCTATCTCACACACACACTCTCTCGTGTATTATTCATAGCAGATCAGCATAATAAATATGACATTCAATATATAAAATAGACACGCGCGTGCAATAATATGTAAATTTTTCAATGCATATGATCTTATTATTATTATTATTATTATATTATTGTTATTATATTATTATTATATGAAATTAATGATATATATAAAATTTTTTTCTGGAAGGAATGAATGGTGATGATATTATAAGGATTTGAAGAAATGAAGAAGAAGATGATGATTTGAAGGAAGAGAATATATGTAGGTATGATGTAGTAGTAATAAATGCAAAGAACAATAATGCAAAGAATATATTATGAATGCAAAAGAAAATATTGTGTGTGTAATATGCAAAAGAGTCTAATATGCCAAATAAATAAAATCAGGATCTATATAATGAATGATTAATTACCTGTTGTTATTACCATTACTTGAAAAATCATCTTCATCGTCATCATCGAAATCATAATAATGATGACGATTATTTCTATTTCTAAAGAAACTACGAGCAGCTGTTGCAGCAGAAGGAGTAGAAATTATATGACGAGGACCAGTCTTAATTTTAACAGTTTTGCAGATTTTATTTCTAATAATATTTTTATCTCCTTCACCTTCACTGTCACTATCGTCGTCATTGTCGTCAGACATAGAAACAGCGGCCATTAATGAACCAGTTACTACCGAGGTTGGTTCAGATTGGTAACCAAAACATTCCTCATTGTTATTTAATTTGTGATTTCCATTTAGACAATTTGATTCGAACTCTTCAATTTCACGTTGCAAATAACGTAGATCATCATGTAATGAGGAATATTGGTTACGAAATTGGTCATAATCTGATTGTTGATCTTTGCGTGCCAAATCTATATCCGATTGAATTTTTTCGCATCTTAATTGACTCTCGTCAACTTCCTCCTCGTCGTCTTCATTGTTGCCAGGTTGATTTAGTTGTTGCAAATATTGATTTTTTAGTTCTTGTATCCTTTTTTGATGTTTATTTATGTCAAATACTTCTTCATCGTCGTCGCCGGCTGATGAGGCGGCCGAAGATGAGGGAGAGGAATTGAATGATGACAATATTGAAGAAGAAGAGGGTGAAGAAGGAGTAGATATTATGTCTTTTGGACCATTACCAATAATACTATTACTATTAAAAAAATCATCAATGTCCTCGCCATATAAAGCAGGGGAAGAAGCGTGTTTTCTTAATCGTGATTTTGTTGGAACGGCGTACGGAGACACTTCATCATCCCAATGCGGAAAAGAAAATTTTTCCTCTGTGTAGACTGCTTCATCACCACCACTTACGTTTGACGGGTAGTTGTAACGTGAAAATTTCGGATATTGGTAAGGAGAATAGATGCCGTTGATGGCGGATACGTTATCATTGTTGTTTTCTTGTCGTATTTTTATTTGTCTATGCACCATTTTGGTTGATTTTTAAATTTTGATAAGAGTAAAAAAGAGTTTATACACAAAGACTTGAAAAAATTTGTACAAGGTTGTTTTTAAGAAAGGAAAAAATATATTACAAGGATATATTTAAGAATATATGTATATATTATATATGTGTGTATATATAACACGTCGTTAGATTAAGAATTTGAAAAAAAAAGTAGATTTGTTGAAAAGAGTAGAGAAGAATAATGTTTTTATATATTTAGATATTATATATATATATATAGAATATAAAAAATATTTACGAAGAAAAAGAAAAAGGAAAAAATAGAAAAACGTTTAATAATATATATATATGTGTAATGAATAAAAAAAGAAATATCGAAGAGGTATATATTTTAATTAATTAAAAATTTTATTAATTAGTGAAGAATATAAACTCTTGATATAATCAAAAGAGAAAAGAAAAAAAAGAAGTAAAAAATTTCCAAGAGTTTATATGATTTTTTTTTCTTTATAGTTTACTAAAAAGTTTCTTTATAGTTTCTTTTTAGTTTAAGGAAAAAAATTTTTTTTTTCGAATATTGTTTATTAATATTATTGTTTGCGTGTTGTTCGACGCTGAGAATGAAAATTGACTATTGTTTTTTTTTTTGATAAATTTTTTTGATATTTACCACTTTTGTTATTTGGTATGTTTTGTGTGGTGAAAATTTAATTAATTTTTAAATAATGTTGTTGTTGTTTGTTATTTATTTATTTTTCACTGATTAGTAAATTTACTGACTGGGTAAAATTTACAGATGACGATGATGTTATAAATTTATTTTGACTTGAATGAGACTGACAGACTGACTGGATTTTTCAATAACGGATTCTTAAAAAATTGTATCTCCTTTTTAAAAATTTTTTTATGGTAATATCGTTAAAAGTAATTAATTATTGTAAAAATAAATTTGACTGATGATGACGCTACTACTGATTTATTAATTGATAATTGATAATTGATTGATTGATGATTGTTGTTGGAATGATGTAATGAAGTAAGGGTTGTTGTTATTATTACAAACGACAAAAAAAAAATTGTCGAATTTATCCTTCTGGTTGTTTCTGTTACCGTCTCCGATTGAAAATTTTGATAGAATATTTGAAATATATAATTTCTCAATTTAGTTTTTTTAATATATTGAATAATGATAATTAGTTTTAGTTGTTTGTAGAATAGTTTTTAATTATTATTTTTAGTTATTTGGTTAGAAATTTTTTAAAAAAAAAACTAGTTTATTTTTATTAAAGAATATTAGTAATATAGATTATATATATATATTATATTATATATTTACAAGTATAATAATTATTAATATATATATTACAAAGAGAGGCGTTTTTTTTTTTTTATTTTTTTTTTTTATAATTATTTGAGAATGGAGAGTTATATAACAAATTATTATCACAATAGAAAAAAACTAAAATTAAAAAGGAATAAAATAACTACTTTATTTGTTTTATTTGTTTTTGGATGAAATGAAAATCACTTCTAATTTTTATAAGATATATGAAGTTTTTTAAATAGCAATTAAAACTAATCAAATGTTTGAAATAACAATATTTTGTTTGTTGGAAACGAGGAGATTGAAAAAGATAAAAAAAAAAAGGAAGGAGAAAATTAAACAAACGATTGGGATTTTCTCTCTCCGACACACTGACTATTATTATTTATTGTCTTGTTTCTAGTACTAGATCATTATATATATATATATATATATATATATCTACTACTACACTACAAACAACTATTTATTTATTATGTTGTTTGTTTATCATATTATTTTAATTTCACATTATCACACAACAACATATTTGGCAATGACTCTCCTGTCAATCGCCCAAATAAATAACAAAGAGGAGAAACAAATATTTATATTACCTAGCAATAAGTCGAAAACGTGAAATTTTACCAAAAAATTTGTCGTTATCTTGATAATTTCAGCATAATTTTCATTATTATGTAACACTCAAACGATATCGATATCTTTAAATGCTTTAAACGATGGTGTGATTAAATAATAATCGTCCACATCTTTTAACTTCATCTCATCTAACTAAACCTTATCGATAAATGATCAACATATTAATTTGTAAATTATTTCCAAATTGGTAATCAATATCGGTATTGCCGTTGATTGGTAAGTGTATATCTAACTGGTTTAACTATTTTTAGACAAACTAGTTTAGAAAATGATTTATTTTATTTGCAATGAGAACCTGTTTTAATACTTGTTATTTTTTTATATTATATTATTTAATTTATATATATATATATATTTTATATTTTTATTCCTTATCCCTCCCTCTTCTACCTCTTCCTCCTCCCCTCCCCCTTTTTTCTTTTCTAAAATTAAAATTAAAGCATGATATGATGATATAATGACGATGATAATAATAATTCCTTAGCAATTGCTTTGGCGTTATATTAGGAAAATTAATAATATATTTTCTTGGAAGAGAAATATGACAAGAAAAACAATTAAGGAAGATAAGAATTTTCATTCTTGAATATTCATTTGTTTCCTAATCAATACAATTAAATAATTAAAATTATTTTTTTTATTTATCTAAATAATTTCCTTATGTAAATGCAGTGTAGTTGCAGTGTACATAAGAAAAAACTATGTACGCGTTTTTATTTATTTTCCAACTTATTTACTATTCAATTACATGTTATTTTATTATTATTAGAATTTATTACCTACCTTATTTCTCAAAAATGTTTTTTGTGTGAGTGGTAAATCTTATTTATTATTATTATGCAGAAAATAACAACTAGTATGAAAAAAGGAGCAAGGAATAAATTTTCCCAAAACTAATTTTTAAATTTTTCTATTATATACTAAAAATGTGATAATTGCCAGGTGAATTATGTGACATGACAGGACACTTTCATTGTATTCAAATTTGTACTTTATATACATACCGTTTTTGGAATGGTTACACCATGTCGATCATGTTGATTCATTGTCTAAAGCGAAATACCGATTTATTCCATAATTTGCAACCAAGCTGGATCATTTTACTATCCTGCCTGTTACCACTCATTACCCTCCCATTCGCTCTCTCTATCATCGCTACCATTATATTACTGGTGAGAAAGTGAAAATGTAATGGTTTTTTTATAGAAAACGTAGTAATTAAAAGTATAGGGTAGATCAGGAATTTTTGGTGGGTGGAATAAACGTCCATTATTATTACTATAGAAGATACATATACGATTAGTGTAAAAAATATGCAATGACATTGGACTTTCAATTATTATTTTTATTATTTAACCATCTCCACATACGCACGCACATACAAAAAAAATTTTTTTTTTCTACTAAATAAATCATTTCATTAATTTTTTGTTGGATTTGACCAATAACTCTAATATTAAATTGGTAAGCAACGCAATCACGGGTCTCGTCCGTTCATAAATTATCATGACGTAATCTGCTGCTTTTATTTTCAATATATTAATAATCTAATTATTATTATATATTAATATATATATAATTGACAAATCGATCAAAACAAATAAACAAAAAAACATCAGATATCGTTATAGATTATTTATTTTTTTGCTAAATCAACCAATAAATAAATAAATTCCATTTCACCAAGACATTCATTCATTCATTCATCCATTATATATAACACATATGGTAATATAACAAATTTATTTTTTTGACACGTCAAAACAAACAAAATAAATCGACATTACAATTTGAATTGTTGTTGACTGACAATTACACGTGTGTTTTCTATTCTTCTTGTCTCTTTTTTTATACACCACATTTTTTTTCTCTCACCATTGTTTTTTTTATTATTGTTGGTTGTTTTTTAAAATTCGTGAAAAATGTGTGGAGTAGCAGTGGTTTTACTGAATTTGCTGAATTAATCTAAAAACTCCTTCATTGTTTTAACTAAATAATGATAGCAACAATGATAATAGAGACTAAATTATATTTTCATTTTGTGTGGGAAGCAGTTGATGAATGAATTACTGGTTATTTCTATTATTATTATTATCATTATTATTATTAATTATTAAAATTAATATTATCTATCGTTATCATTACCATCGTCGTCATTATTTAGTATTACTATTATTGTGATTTTCATATTCAAATATCGAAAAAAAATTTTCCTTCATCCTGCAATTCCGCCGCCCTTTCCTCTCTCTCTCTCTCTCTCTCTCTCTCTCCACTAAATCATATTGTCAATAATTTTAAAAAAAAAAAATTATTTATTTATTTTTTTCACTCTTAATATATATATATATATATATTATATGTAATGTTATGTAAATACACACACTATAAATGATAATAATAACAATAACAATAATAATTGTAAAGAATTATAGAGTTTAATTGTGTGTGTCGTATATTGTTCAAACTGTATTTTACATACAAATAATATTTTGTGTGTGTATACTTTAACGAATTTGGAAAGAAATTTGAATTGAAAAAAAAAAATTTTTAATTTGAAAACGATGATAATTTCGGACATTTTTTTTTTTAAAACGAATTAGTCATTCAATTTAATTAATCGATTAAATTGATATTAATAATCGATTAATTAATCAATCAATCAATTAATTAATTAGTGAGGGAAAAATAACTTTTTTTGAATAATATGAATGAATGAATGAGTGAAAAATAGGAAATGGATTGTGATATCAAAAACGGTATAAAAAGGTAACCTTTCCCCACTTTTTAATTAATAATTAATTAATTTCTTTTTTTTTTTTGAAAACAGTAATTAGGTAACATATAATATATATATATATATATACACACATCCCACTCCACAAATACAACCTTTTTTTGCAGGTGGGACTCAATCATATCGATATTATGTAATGTTGATTTTGTTTTAAAGCAAAAAAAAAATAAATAAATAAAATATCTTTGACATATATATATATAAAATGGAACAAACTCGTATTTGTATGTGTGACCATCAGTGTATTAGATATTCCACCAAAACAAGTAATGATAAACACAAAGTGTTCCAGTGATTTGGTTCAAGACATGTAACACGAGTTGTAAATATGGAATTGATATACGTGTGTGACCACCTGATCAAATTTTTTGGTTTTAGGAAACGATTTTCAAGAATCCATGTTACTTTTTGGATCGACGGTCCCATCTTTCGATTGCAAAGCTCGGGTCCCTGTTCGTTGAGCATTGTTGATTGGCTGAACACACGTCGTTGCACGAACCAATTGGTTACTGACGAAAAATATCAACAACTATAGCTCTTTTTTTGACCTTTTTTTTTTTTTTAAAAAAAAAACTGAAATAACAAACAACCCTCCAAGAAATTATTTTGAGTGTAAAAAACAATGGAAAATCAAAGAGTAATCTCAACTGATAAAGGATCAACAACAAAAGCTACTAAAAGAAACATAGAATCAGCAGAACAACTGACTCCCACATCACCGGAAATGTCAATGGTAAAAACAAAAAAATCAGCAATAGAGGAAGCTGCAGCAAGATTAAGGTTACCACTTTCTTCAAATAACTCTAATAAAAAATTTAAAAAAACTCAGCAACAACAACATCGATCATCAATTACAACTACTGCTACTGCTGCTGCTACTGCTGCTGCTGCTGCTGCTGCTGCTGCTGCTTCTTCTTCTTCTACCTCCAACAATAATATCCTCAACAACACCATGAGCAATAGATTCAACACCATGAGTAATGGCAATGGCTTTTACATCATGAATAACGGACTTTATACCATGAATCACTACCCTATAAGTAATGTTATGATGAATAATAATGGTATTTTTAATTCTAATCTTGCTTCAAATTATCTTTTCATCAATTCAACTCACAAAGATTATCATATGAGAGAATATGGGTGTAATTTTGACTTTGTACATGAATATTCATGTCCACCATCATTACCATCTTTCTCCCAAAATTCAGTAGGAGTAACATTGCCATATTCGCCATATTCGCCATATTCATTATACCCAACAACAATACCTATTGCCATATCATCTACATCTGCAAGAACATTAGAAACACCAATCACTAATTACAACAACAACAATAATAATAATATTTTAGCAAATCAATTTTATGAATTTGATAAATTTAAAAACCACATTTCAATTATGTTAAACAATGATTTTGACCTTGGTTCCATAGAGAATGAATTTTCAAGTAACAGAGATCATATCCAACAGTTATACTTAAAACATGATTTGACGCCAAATGATTTGATCTCAGTGTTGGATTGTTGTATAGCATATTATATCAATATTAGGATTTTTCAACTTCAACAGTAATGTTAATTTTTATTTTTTAAATTTTATGGGGGAGGAGGAGGGGGTTAGATTGTAGTGTGAGTGTGAGTGGACTGAGGGGGGAGCTCGGATAAATTATAATTAGTTTGTGTCGTTCGGAAAATCTTACTAAAAAAGGCATATCAGTTGCCTTTTGGAGCAATTTTTTAAAAATGCTTTTTTTTTTTTTCAAAGTAAATTTGTTTCCAAGACTTAATCTCCAATTTCTAACCATTCCCACAATACCAGTTCAACTATAATTATCCGAGCTCCTAGTGAAGGTAAAGGTGTGTCATTTCCTAATCTATATTATTTATATCTTTATTTACTAGAATTTCTGTGCCTGGACAAAATTTTTCTGCATTATATTTTCACTTTTGGAAATGTTTTGAATATAAGCTGGTAAAATACTTAAATTTATTAATTACCAAATAAATGAATGAACAAATATATGATGATTAATTAACTGTCCAACCGATCATCATTATTATTTTACAGACTTTTGTCAATAAATATTATCCATTTCTTAAAGACGTTTTCAATAAAATAAATCAAACATTATGGTAATGTATTAATTAATAAATATAACATGCTATTGTCATTGTCATAATCGTCATCATCATATCACCATTGTAGTTTTATTATTAATACGTAAGTTTTGTTATTTTAGGACATTTGGGATGAGAATGCTTTCTAATAATTTAAAAAAAGCAAATGTTATATGTAATAATCTTATTAAATCTGTATTAATCACATTTAATGAATTGGGGTAAAAAAAAAAAAGATTTATCGAATTTTTATTTCCTGATAACTTCTCCAATCGATTGATTGATTACTAATTTAATTAATTTAATTAACTTTTATAGAAATCAAAATATTTATGTTAACATAAATAACAACAATAACAACAAAATTACAAATGATAGCAACAGCAACAATACTAACAACAGTAGTAAATATGGTCACTATGATGAATATATAAAGACAATGATACAATCAATCAAGGAACTAGAACTTTATGACTCATTTAAATATGCATTTCTAGACAATTCAAAGAAATTTTTTCGTGAGAAAAGTCTATCATATCGACCATTAATTGAAAATCGTAATATAGGCACTTATTTGAAGTTGATCAAGCAACAAATTGAGTTTGAGATTGATAAAGTGACTTATTTTTTTGGTGAAGATTTGTATATCAGAGAATCTTCAGCTAAGATCATGATTAATGAATATTACCTTAGGCATATGGATATTATAATTGAAAAAGGTATAAGCATATATACATTTGAGAGGGCGGTATATTCATTTTATATATATCATTATTTATTTGTTTATTCACTCACTATTCAATATTCATTCATTCATCCATTCATCCATTCATTCATTCATTTATTCATTCATTTATTCATTCATTTCAATAGTTTTTTTTGATTTTGATAGTCTAGCGAATTTGGTTTTATTATATGATATTTGTAAGACTATCGATTCAATTGACTTTTTGGATATTTTCTTTAAAAAATACATCAATGTAAGTGTGTATATATATATATATGTATGTATGTATAAAGTATAATTGGTTAATGTTTATTAAATTAATTATATGTTTTCTTGATACTCTTTATTTTATTTAGAATATTTATAATTCACGCATTATCTTTTCACCACAAAAATCACTAATAATCAACAAAGAAAATTTGGAAACATTAAGTCAATTAAATAAAAAATTTAAAAACATTCAATCAAATGAAAAACATTCAAATATTGTAAATATGTGGAATAAAAATTTTATGTCATTTGTCAATGAAAAAAAAGATAATATCACTAATTTTTGTGGTAAATACAATAATTGTTTGATAATAATTATCCAGTGTTTTTTGAATGAATTAATCATTAATTTGTTAATTTTCTTATTTATTAATTTGCTTATTTATTAGTCGATTATATTGATCATTTAATAATAACACCTTCAGACAACACAAAATCAGAGAAAACAGATGAAATATTAGAAATTACTTCATTAATCGTATTATTAGATGGTAATAATCTTTATTATTATTATTATTATTATTATTATTATTATTATTATTATTATTATTATTATTATTATTATTACTGCTGCACCTATATTATTAATGGTCGTTATTTATAGATAAACCTTATTTCATGAAACATTATAAGAAAAAATTTGCTAAAAGACTACTTTATTGCCATGATGACAAAAATCTTAATCTTTTAAATGAAAAGTGGATTTTGTCATTATTTAGCAGGTTAAAGATAATAGGTATATGTTAAATCATTGATTATTATTATATTGTTGTATAAAATATAAATATATATATTATGATATTTTATAATTGTTTTATAATTCATTTTTAGGGGATGATTTATATTTAGATAATTTAAATGCAATGATTAAAGACATCCATGAATCAATTGAAATAAAAAAAGATTTTGATGTAAATATTAATTAACCAACAACAACAACTGATTGATTGATTGACTTCAATAATTAATAATTAACATCTTATCATTCATTGATCAATCATTTTTGTAGATTTTTAATCATCTAAAAGTAACAATATTAACAGGGTCTTATTGGCCAAACTTTATCACTGGATCGTCATCTGGAGTTGCTGATCTAAAAATACCATATGAAGTAAATAATATATCATCATCATCATAATCATCATCGTCATCATCATATGTTAATTGTATATACATACATATATATATATGTGTGTATATTAATCAATTTTTTTAGTTGTTCTTGATGAGAAAATCATTTCAAGATTATTATTATTGCAAGGGAAAAGATAGAAATCTTAAATGGTTACATTCCTATGATAATCTAATTATTTCTTCAATTCATCCAAAGGTAGATAATAATTATATTATTATATTCATATTATTAGTAGGATCTTCACATTAATGTATTTTCAATATTATTTATTAGGGAAAAATGTACTTTAGTATCAATATGCACATGTTTATAATATTGGAAATGTTCAACTATACAAGATCATATCAAATATCATACACTATTCGTGAAATTATGAAAAATACTGAATTAGGTAAATATATATTATACATGTATGCACGTATGCATGTATGTATTTTATGCATATATGTATTAACATTCCATATTATTTAATTTACTTTCTTTATTTAGATTTTGAAGTATTAAAAAGTGCTTTAAGTTCACTGATATTTGGCGAAGTTAAATTGTTAAATAAATTTGTGAATTCAAAGAGATTGAATTTATCCGATGCTATTTTTATTAATGAAAACTTAAACTACATCGAATCAACCGTTGACAATCCAATAATAATCGCTGAACGAAAATCACAAAAACAGGTAATAAAAATAATTAATTTAATATCATACATATATGTATATTAACTAACACACACATGTTCATTCATTTGGGGATGAAAAAGGTATCAACATCAGAGGATGTTCAAACCTCTTCTTATAATATATCCAACGAAATAAGAATAGATTCAAGGATAATGAAATTAATGAAATTGCATAAACGTTACCAACATAATAGTTTGATTAGTTTTATACAAAAAGATTTTAAAAATAATTTTCATCAACAAATTCAGGTAAATTATTTAACAATTATTGTTTGTCATTTTTTTCTATTTATCAATAATTAACATTCAAAATTTATATTTTTTTTTATTTTAAGGGAAAACTTATCGACGTTCAGATTAAATCCTTAATAAAACGACAATTTTTAAGAGTTGAGGGCAAAAATGTTATTTATGTTCCCTAAAAAAAAACAAAAAAAAAATCATTTTATTTACTTTAACCGCAAAAATAATAGTATAAATGTCGATCAAATTCATATATTGTGCGTGTGATTTTTTCTTTCAAAAATTTTTAAAACCAAAATAAAAAAAACGAATCTTTTACACATCTGAAAAAAATTAAAAATGTCGTTTGAAACTGCAACATTTACCCAAATTCTAGACGACCTGTCAAGGTTTATTTATTATTTTTACTACTTTTTGGTTCCTATGGTCATTTAGTCTACATTATAATAATAAAAGAATATTTTACAGTCGTTTTATAATAAATGTTCCTGAAGAGGAATTGTCTTCCATAGAACGTATTTGCTTTCAAATTGAACAAGCTCATTGGTTCTACGAAGATTTTGTTCGTGAACAAAATCCAAGTTTACCCAGCTTCACATTAAAAGTCTTTTCTGCAAGATATATCCTTTTTATTTTTTTTCTGCAATAATAATAATAATAATAGCAATAATCATACCGTTATAATTGTATTTTTCAACTTAACTCTGTTTAACACTTTTTGATCATTGTCCGTTGCTTTTCAAATGGAGGAACGAGCATGAAAAGGCGTTTGGAGATTTCATGAAGTACAAGATTAGAGTTCCAGTTTGTGGCGCAATAATGTTAAATTCTACAATGGATAAAGTATTATTGGTAAAAGGTTGGTCTTCACGATCAGGTTGGGGTTTTCCAAAAGGTAAAATAAATAAAGACGAACTTGATTCAATCTGTGCTGCCAGAGAGGTACGTCAATCAAATACATTACCGATACACATAAAAAACGAAAAAAAAAAACTATAAATGATTTTTCTTTTTTTTTCTTTTTTATAGGTATTCGAAGAGACTGGATATGATATCACACCACTTATCAAAGAAAAAGATTTTGTGGAAATAACAATTCGTGGCCAAAGAATTAGATTGTATATAGTGGTTGGTGTACTAGAAGCTACCGAATTTTGTCCACAAACGCGCAAAGAAATCAGCGTAGGTTATTGATTAGATTCCATTATTGTTATTGTTCAGACAATAAGAACAACATTTATCATATATATATAATATATTAATATTTTTTTATTAAAAAAATTATTTTTTTTAGAAAATAGAATGGCATAATCTTTTAGATCTTCCCACTTGGTCAAAAAACCGTAATAAAGAATCACCCTTTAATTGTGGTGGTGGTTGTGTAAAATATGGTAGCAGTAGATATTACATGGTTGTTCCGTTTGTTACGTATGTATAAACAAAATTTATTTTTTACTTTTTTTTTTTTAATAGATATAATTTTCCCCTTCTAAAGTTATGTGATGGTTTTTTTTTTAAAAAAAAGTCGCTTACGAAAATGGGTACTAGCGCGAAATAATCCCAAGCGTAAAAACAAAAATAATAATGGCAATAATAGCAATAAAGCAGGAAGAAGTAATAATGTTAATGTTGGAAAAAAGAAATCATATCCATTAGATGACAGCAATAATATTAATGATAACACGAAATCTTCATACGAATCAGAGATCATTTATTCTGAAAGCGAGGAGATAGAAGAGGATGATGATGATGAGGAAGGTTTGGATTTCATTGATGACAATGATAATGACAATCATGTAGAGGATGAAGATGATAATAATTACAACAACAATAGTAGAAAAGGTAAAGCTAAGGCTGATTTATATTATACAAAAAAATCAAAATCAAAACCTGCTACCAGTACCAGGAACACTACTATTAGTAGTAGCAGCAACACTAGCGAAAAGCCCAAATATGAATTGATTAATGTAAACACAAAATTGAATTTAAGGTTTCGTCCAATCAGGATTTTTCTGCCTTCTCATTCATTTGTTGATAAAAAGGATCATTCACTTAAAGACAATTTTGCTAATAATGATGATGATGATAACAACAACAATGACGATAACAATACTAACAATGACAATAATAATAATTATACTACCACTAATAATAATTTAAACATCAATGACAAGCCAGAATATAAACTTATTGAGGTGAATACCAAACTAAATCTAAAACCCATATCAATTAAAGTCGACCTCGGAAATAATATCAATAACACCATCACCGCCACTGATGATAATAGTAGTAGAAGTAATAGCAGCAGCAGTAATGATAGCAGCAGCATTGATAGCAGTAGTAGCAGCAGTAATAGTAGTAGTAACAATAATGTTTCAGTGCCAATTTCTGTTCAACCTAATCGTAGAATACTTATTGCTAAACTGGATCCTGATCAATCATCATTTAATCAAAACGCTCCAGTTGGTCCATATGAACCTGCTATTTTCGATTATAATAAAAGGATCAATGTCACGAATCAAAATAATAACACCACTACCAGAACCACAATATCTATTGATGATAAAGTACTCGTGCCATCCCTAATTGATAATGATTTGGAAACTCAACGAAAAAATTCATTGCTCAGCATACTTCAACCAACAAAATCATTAGCATCCTCATCATCTAATGCTGCAGCAGTAATTAATAAACAATTGGAAAATCATAATAAAAATATAGAATATATTCATCAAATAAATTCTTCTTCAAACAGCAATCCATTATATAATAAAATATTACAATCACCTTCTCTTTATAATAACAGCAATAACATCAACAGCTATTACAACAATAATAATATTTATTATAATAATAATAACCATGCATTATTATTAACAATTCCACATCCAATTCAAGATACTTCTGCTAATAATGCACTTTATGAAGAAATAAAGGCACAAGAAAGACAATTACTTGATTGGATAACAACTCAAATATAGTAACACATTTTGATTTTTTTTATTAATCCTCTTATTATTATTAGTAATTTATTTGTAAAAATTTTGATATTAATGTATCATCATCATCATCATCATCATTTTCTTCATGTAAATTTTTTTGAAAATTAAATTTTTTTTGTTTAAATAAATTATTGCATATTTAAAAAAAAATTTGGCAATTTCTGAGACCAGGTGACTTGCATTGTATGTCATAAATAGAAAATTATGGAATCCTTTGGAAAAGTCTAGGTTATCGCGAACAAAATAATTTTGGTATATATCATAATTTCATTTTTTTAATTATTCATAAAGATATAATAGAGGCATAACAGATTAGGTAAGTATCAATTGGTTTTTTTTGTTGAGTTGTTTCTTAGTGTCTTCTTTATCTTTTTTTGTTGCGTATACTTATCAGTGTCTTTTTTATTTTAATCTACGTCCTGTTTTCTTGTAGATAAGTTTTTTCTTTTCTGAAGGGCACTGTATTTGTGGTTCAGAGATATACATCCTCTTGCAGTATATAGATGTAGTAGATGTAGACCATTCATGTCCTCCAAAAAGAAAAGCAGACTGCAAAATTTCCAATATCCAATTTCTCCTTAATGGTGTGCTCCTTGGTTAAAGGCTAATATAAAGGCTCACAAAAAAAACTTATAAACATGTATTCCAAAGTCTTTTTTTATATTTTTCTTGTGTACCTTTTTCATCATTTACGTCACTTGAACAAGTGCCATATCCCAATCTCTCCTTTGTTCCATCAGTTGTTCCCAAGGAGCTAAATCTTTCTTTTACTGAATACAATTCAGTTCCCATACACTCATCTACCATTAAACTCGAACATTTCTTATTATATTAATATTAATAACATGATACATGATCGCAATAGATAAAATTATCGATCGGGGATTCGGTACTTTATGTTCAGGGTCAACTAATTTTAGTGTATAATTATCATCAAATGAAAATTTTACGCAAAAGCTTTTTATATAATATCAATATTGATCAAGTTACTTTGCAATAATAAACTTTATCCTTCCTTATTGCAGTGATCAACTTCTGGGAAAATAATAGATAGTTAACGTTCCGATAAAATGATTAGTAAAGTAATTTGCTTTAGTGAGTAAGACTAAAGTTGGATAACTAGTGGATGTTAATGAAGCATTGTCCAAAGGTTAATTGGAAATAGTGGTAGTATTATTGTAATTGTAAATATTAGTCTGTTAAACAAGCTACTTAAGCTTTTTTGCAAGTAAATCAAAGCGAGTTTGCAATCGGCCAATAAATGTAAATCGATCACAAGTGAATAAAAGGAATTTTGTAGAAGCCTTGAGCTTTGTAAAAGGGCATCTCTATTTATTTGGTGCCATTGAGTGTGCGCTCACAGACTCGTCCAGATGCAAAAGAGAGGAAACTAAAGTAAATTTGTAAACTGATTAATTTTGACAAGCACCGAATTATTTGCAAGAGTAACCAAAAGTTAAGCCATAATTGTTAATCAACCGAAATGATACCACGATTTAACAAGAGTCAAAAGATTTATATTTCAAAACATTATTATAATTTAGCTTTAAAGAAACAAAATAAGGATAAAATAAAAAGATAAATAAAAAGATAATAAATAAATTTATAGTGGAGATTAAATTAGTCATT